GCTTTGGTCTGCACAGAGTCTAGTGGTTGCAGACCTCTTCTTCTTTTGTTTCACATGCCCCCCACTAGCTTCAGCACTGCCCCCAACCCCCCCCGTGCCTCCCCTTCCCCCACACTGAGCCACTATTACCTGGCTTCTCCCCACTTTTTCTATGTCCCGGAGCCTGCTCAGTCTGGGTACTGACGAGATGCTCCGCCTCCTGCAGAGCCCGCACTGTACTGAGAGCCGCACATTCCTTCTGACAGCCGCTGCTTGAGTCAGTGAGAGAAACCCCCGGAGCCTCTGTGCCGCTTCAATGATGACCAAGCCTGCACGTCATCAGAATTTTCTCAGGGACAACCAGTTGGTGACCACAGTGTTAGAGAGCTATTCAAAATGAATGATGTGGTTAGGTGAATGGACCATTGTAACGGGATAGAGTGAATGGGCCCTGAAGGAAAACTAATCGGCCCCACGCATCTTCGCAGAGAAAACTCAGAACGGTGACAGGTCAGCTTTTATCTGTATGCACACTTAGCACAGCTCAGACATGGGAACGACTTCAGCATGTTGCCAGTCAGCCTCTTCTCCCCAGACAAACAGGGCTGTATCTATCATAAGGCACTTATAGGCCAGTGTCTGGGGTAGCAGGGTAAAGAGGTCACCACCAAACCTCAACATTTAGAAATGGTGGAACTTTTCTTATCCTGACATCTCTGGCAATTTGTGACAGAAAGAGAACTGTAAGGAAAAGAGGATGCAAGGGACCTTGAGGAGTCAAAAGGCTTTTTTTAGTTCAGGAAGCATTAAAAGATCCTGTCAGCGGGACTTTCATTTAAACAACAATCTTCCCATTGGAATATTTGAGCATTTTATGCATGTTAATTATCTATAAGGCTGTGTTCACACCTAGGCATAACGAATATGCACGTTTGTCACGCGTTTGGGGCTTGCGTTTCGCTGTAAAAAACGTGCGACAAACGCGCGTTTCCGAGGGCTACTTGGCTGTATCCCAATGGAAACGCGCGACAAAAACGCCCCAAAGAAGCTCCTGTACTTCTTTGGACGTAGGGCGTTTTGTAGCGCGTTCATACGGCCTGTAATACGTCCAGGTGTGAACCATACCCATAGGAAATAATGGGATTCCGGTGTTTGACTGTTTTGCACAACGTTCGAATGCGCTACAAAACGCCCAGGTGTGAAGCAAGCCTCCTTTGTGTAGACATTCTGAGACTTCTGTTGGGCGGAAGAGCATAGGAAATTAATACTTCTTTACTCCATCAAGTGGCCATAATGTGGCATTATATTATATCTGACCTAAAAAGAACATATACTAAGAATGTTTGTTGTTGCCTCTAAGGTTAAAGTAGTATTAAGGTCTGAGTAAAAACGGCCTAGCACCTTTTTTCTCCCCAGTCCCCCCCACACTTACCTGTCAGCTATGCTCGTCCCCACCTCCGGTCCCGAAGCGATCCTCCGCTCCCCAAACTTCCTGGTTGCGGGGGGAGGATACTGATGGCAGAGGAGCCATAGGCTCCTTCTGCCATCAAAGAGAGAAGGATCGTGGTCTGCCACAGTTTTGTGCGTGTCTATAGACGCACACAGCACACAGCCTCCGGCAAAGGTGGGTCTCCTTGTAGGAAATTTTTTTTTAAAAAGGCTTTAATATCACTTTAACAGCAATGAAGATCACCAGCACTCACAGGATGAAGCAAATCCTTGTGTCACTATGTTCGCCCTCATGAAGGGACCCTCCGTGTTTCCGAAACGTTGGCTATGCAATATATGTGACATGATTCTTCAATAAAAAAACACAAGCATTTACTTCATCCTGTGAGTACTGGTGATCTTCATTGCTGTTCACCTTGGATATGCACGGCGCCATCTGTGGACATCACTATGAGCATCACTGCTTTTTCAAGCACTGTAGGTCCTGACTGCTGTGTGGTGTGCAGACATCTTTGGTTATCGTGTTTTTGCCTCTATCCGCACAGAATGAACATTCATAAAGATTGGCAGGGCAATGGCACTGCAAAACGTTTATAAACAGACCCTCTAGTGTCATGAAATGTATCAAGTCAGATGTCATTGTCCAAGAATATGATAGAAGGTGTGAATGTTTGTGACGGCACCCTGTTCTGACAAAATCCAGCTCTACAATGGTGTCATGATGTCCGGGACACATGTGGTCTCACACAACTGCCATCTGGCCCGGACTTTATGGCATAAGGCATAAACTTCTCAGTAAACATCCAAAACATCAGCATATTATTGTTCTGTTCTCACATTGTAAACAGTAATTTTTTTCCATTATTTTTTTTTATTGTTTTCATAAAAAATACTTGTTTTTGTCTATATTATACATATAGGAACATATGAGAATCTTGGTCTCAAACCATTGATAAGATATGCCTACCAGTATACACAAATAAAGCAAATAAAGCTTACAGTCATAGCAAACTTTATGGTAGAAATTGTCAGTTGATGTTTTAATCCGACTGGTTGATGAGGGGAAATCAAAGACCATTCTACAGTCTGAGGCTGGAGGCCGAGCAGCCTGGAATCTCACTGACCGTCACGGCCACACGGGGGTGATGGAGATCTACATGTTAGACCACAAGGATGACCCAATGAATGACCCGGTCTTGCTCTGCTCCACTCAAAAACACAATGATCAAGGTTTACTGTACACATCCTTTTGCAATACATTCAGTGACTTCATGATGTCATTCTGGGTTAATTCAGTTCTGCAACATCTGCCGCAAAGTTCTTATTGTTTGCTGCAGTCTGGAGATTTTCAGGTGTACCGAGCTATCCTGCAGAGAAAAACAAGACATCTTAATACACGTAAGTAGTAGTAGTGGTAGTAGTGTCTGCATGCTTCCTCTATGATGACTGGTGTGTCAGCTACGCAATCTAATATGTCACTCACAGACAGAGGACGAGGCACATATATAAAACAACATCCCCACGGTACCTCATTGTCTTCCTCCTCACGCGGATTCTTGCCTTGAAGCTGACGCACTAACTTCTCCAGTTTAGGTTGCAGCTTGCCAAGCTCTGACTGCGGGTCAACCAATCCCTGGTAAATAAAAGACAATACTAATGAAGGATTTGTGAAATAATGCCCTCCTTCCATCTGGAAGAGAGATTACAATATGAAAGGTAATTAGGTTTTAGTAGTGGTCATTGATGCCGAACTAATTTAAAGGAACAATGAGTCTTGCTGAAAAACGTAGCACCAGAAAAACATACATGTGACATATGTGAGCCTACCTGCCCAACTCATATAATAGATACAAATATTTACAAACATATAATCAGAACATCCTCAAATTACTTCAGTACCCTAGCCCCGTGTTTCTCCATCTTTTTCAGGCATGGCACCCTTTAAAAGTATGCAAGATCTTGCAGGACCCCGGTCTAAAATGTAAAAAAGTAAAAGATGACATGCGATTCCCCCCAAAACTATACCAGACCATTATCCTAGATAGGAGTTTGGTATAGATTTTAAGGTGGGACTCCATGCACAAAGAAAAAACTGATGTGGATTTCCCCCCTTCACATCAGAGTCCCCTCCCTTTTTACATCAGGAGCCCCCCATAACAACAGAAGCCTTCCCTAAAATCAGAAGCCCCCTTCACATCAGAAGCCTTCCTCACATCAAAAGCCCCCTTTCGCATCAGTAGCCTTCCTTATAATCCGAAGCCCCCTTTCACATCAGAAGCCTTCCTCACATCAGGAGCCCCCTTTCACATCAGAAGCCTTCCTTAAAATCTGAAGCAGCCTTCACATCAGAAGCCTTCCTTATAATCCAAAGTCCCCTTCACATCAGAAGCCTTCCTCACATCAAGAGCCCTCTTTCACAACGGGAGCCTTCCTTAAAATCTGAAGCGCCCTTCACATCAGAAGCCTTCCTCACATCAAGAGCCCCCTTTCACAATGGAAGCCTTCCTTAAAATCTGAAGCTCCCTTCAAATTAGAAGCCTTTCTGTTAGTTATCACCACAGTGAGGCTGCGGCAGCATGGCGGAAGGCAGGATAGAGAGTATGTCTGGATGGAGGGGACTTATGTCCTCTGAATGCTGGGGAAGGTCCTGGATACAGCCCATCCTAGATCAGCATCACACATTTCCAGAGTGCTGGTGGCCAGCTTGTCTGCACCATGGAAATGGATGATACTGTGAGAATATTTGAAGGCACCCCTGACAATTCCACAAGGGATTCCAGAGTGCCATGGCACCCTGGTTAAGAAAGGCTGCACTATCCTATCCACAGCTTTGGGCACCATCTTTCACTGTATCCTTGTATGGGTCACACAGACACTTTAATAATGACAGTTCTCTTAAATCTAGTCCCACTAGAGGCAGAAGTTTCTGACCTGAAGATTCATATAAACCCGGCAGTTATCCATCACTTCCTCAGCAGCCCAGCCAATCCGGTCATCACCATCCTGAGAGATAATACTGGACAGCTGAATATGAAGAGGGCCTGACAGTGACAGCGTCCGCATTGGGGACAGGAAAGACTGAAGAGAGGCCAGGTCCTCTTCCCGGGAACAGATAATGTGGACTGCAGTGATTAAAAAAATAAAGATGAGACAAGAGATAAAAGAAAAATGGCTTATATAAGAGGCCACTTACATTACCAGCAGCTTTCCTTACCAACATCCAGTATAGAAACAATTCAAGAAATTATTAGGGACTTTAAAGTGTATGTAAACCCATAGGAGAGTGCTGCCAAGGAGAGATCTGTCAGCGTTATCACAGGAGGCCAAGCGGGACGGTGAAGGAGGAGACAGGCAAATCAGGATGGAGAGCGATGCAGGGAGGAGACAGCTGTCACAAGAAGCCAAGCCGGCGGTGCAGGGAGGAGAGCGCTGTCAGCGGTGTCACGGGAAGCTGAGCTCTCCTCCCTGCACTGCCCACTCAGACACCTGTGACAGGCAAGTCGGGATGGAGAGCGATATACAAACACTCAGTGATCAGCTGATCGCTGAGTGTTTGTAAATAACTGAGGACATAGTATGCTTACTGTGTCCCCAGTTATGAATGAACGGGAAGTGCTCTACATCACTTCCTGTTCATTCATGATTGTGGACATAGTTCCTGATGCTGTCTCCACAGTTTATGGATGGACAGGAACACTCAGTATAGAGGCTTCCCGTTCATTCATAACAGGAGCTGCAGAAAAAGAGATTGAGGACTCTGTGTCCTCAATCTCTTTTTCTATTTCAAAAGGGAAATATCAGGGGTCTGTTTAGACCCCCAATATTTCCCCAAAGCACCGGACAGTAAGGTTACTAAAAAAAAAAAAATTATATTAAAAAAATAATGTTAAAAAGGTTAGGAAAAAAAATGTTGGTTTTAGTTTCGGCCTGACAAATTTTTTATCTTCTGTTTGGTCTAAAAATGTCATTTTGGTGCATCTCTAGTGCTAACAGTCGATGAATTGAGGAAACAGGGAAAACATGGAGGAAAAACAATAGTGTAATAAAAATATATATAAAAATTAACTGCACCAATAAGCAAGCTAACAGCTACAAGGCACTGGAATGTACACACACTGTGACAGTGTAGACGTGAAAAATGAATATCTAAATGTGCCGAGCTACAACACTGAGCAATACAAAAAAACAGTAAAAGTCACAGATTCTTTTATAGTTTTTTTTGTATTGCTCAGTGTTGTAGCTCGGCACATTTAGATATTCAAAACCAGAAATATACCACAAGAAATAATAAATCAGAAGACTCCACATACCACGCTCACTCCTATCTACTCACCTTCCGGTCTCGCCTTGGTCAGGCTGAATTCGTTCCTCAATCTGCGCAGCGTCCTGATTACTGAGTGAACAAAATCAAAGTGTTCCACTTCCTCAGGGTAATTCCAATGAGCCTGCGAGGGGAAATCAAATCACCAATAATAATAGGCACATGTAAAATACTAAGACTAATCAACAAGGAATTCTGTGATTGGGTGAGAGAAGAGGAGGGGCGGGTACCATAATGTACGTGATCTATACCCTTAAAACAGACCAATTATCAGATATATTTTCTCATCATATCATCATCAATCATCATTTTAGGAGTCTGCACGCTAAATAATGTGTAAGTGTAACGCAGGGGTAGCCAAACTCCGGCCCTCCAGCTGTGGTGAAACTACAAATCCCATGATGCATCTTTCCCCGGGAGTCATGTCTGTGGCTGTGAGAATCTCGCAATGCCTCATGGGATTTCTAGTTCCACCATAATCATCATTTTAGGAGTCTGCACGCTAAATAATGTGTAAGTGTAACGCAGGGGTAGCCAAACTCCGGCCCTCCAGCTGTGGTGAAACTACAAATCCCATGATGCATCTTTCCCCGGGAGTCATGTCTGTGGCTGTGAGAATCTCGCAATGCCTCATGGGATTTCTAGTTCCACCACAGCTGGAGGGCCGGAGTTTGGCTACCCCTGCTGTAACACTACACAAGTAAAAACCTCCCTTACCGTGAGTCTGGGTGTTGGGTACTCAGCAACACAGACGCTGGGCGCACTTTGTGAAGGGGCAGCTGGAAAACGTTGCCACAGCTCTTCTGACAGGTACGGTGTAAATGGGGCAAGAAGGCGAAGGGTATTCTCTGCTCCCCAGTAGAGTACTTGTTTGGCATCAGCAGCACCAGGTCCTTTCAGGATGGGTTTTACAGCTTCCTGTGTTGGAAGAGAAGATAACGAAACCCCTGCATGGGTATGCAACCAAGGCTTTCATAATAGAGGGCATCTAAGGATAACAGACAAAAGATGTGTAAAATGAATTCCTATAAGGCCTCAGGATATCCCAGCTCAGGAATGTCTTAGGAGAGATTAATTTCTTGGCACAGCTTAAATGTTCCTGGAACATGCAAAGCCCAAATAGGACAGATCCTCACTATGAATGAAATCTACAGCTTATTTTTAGCATTTATTAATACTGTAACCTATATATAAATAACAAATAACCGCCAGGCAAACTGATATGTGCACATCTGTACAAGTGCACATCTGTACAAAATAAGTCAAGGCACCTGGACGTGCTGTATTTTTCTTGAAGACGTTTCACTGGTCGCCCAACCAGATTTCTCAATTCAGAATGACTTGTACAAAAATTCTCTGGGAATAAATATGGTGAATGTTGTTCCAATCCACATAATCTGTTAATTGCAACCAGCATGGGGTCAGAGACCTCATGGAGGTAAGGTATTGATTGCATTTGAATAATTTTAGTCTAGGAGGTGTTATTAACCTGCCCAGAGAGAGGTGTTAAAACAGCATTGTGTGCGGCATATCAGTGTGTGTGAAGGTCGTCGCCCCCCTCTATTCAAGCTTGGCTTCTCCATGCTGGTTGTGATTAGCAGATTATGTGGATTGGAGCAACACTCACCGTATTTATTCCTATATAAATTTTGTACAGGTCATTCTGAAATGAGAAAGCTGGTCTGATGACCAGTGAAACGTCTTCAAGAAAAAAACAGCAAGTCCAGTTGCCTTGACTTATTTTGTACAGATATACTATGACCTGGATGAATGAAAACCTTCACACACACTGATAGACTACATTGCAGTATACAATAAAGCTTGGTCTACTTACCACCCCACGAAAAAGCCGCATCACATTGAATAGGTCATCTTTCTGCTCTCTCTCCATTCAGGAATCGGGTCAGAACTCTACAATGCAGTACAGCCTGATCTGATTCACATTACTGCTCCCTCCTTCTCAGAGTATAAATGTTGTGCAGGGAATAATAGGAAGCCAAAATAAACTCAAATTCAGGCACATTAGCTATATTACAAATACATGTTTTAATGAATACATAAATGGATTAATTGGTGGCTAACATTTGCCTGGAGTTCAATGTTAATGTTTACTAAACCGTAGTCTTATGACTTCATTACAAAGAAGATCTCCCGCTAGTAGTTATTTATAGGTTTAGAGCTTCCCTGATGAATGCTCCCATCCATTGCAGTGTAGCTGGGTATACCCACCACATAGACATCGCAGAAGCTCTGTAACCAGAATGAATGAATGGCCCCAGCAGCTCCATGAATCTCGAAGGCCTGGAATTTACTCTCACACTCCTCCGTTGTGTGCCGCAGACGATCCAGAAGCCATCGGTCAATGGGGGCCTGAGGTCTGAGCTAGCATGAGAAATTGTATAAGTCACAGTCTATTCAGTATAAGGTCTCATTCACACAACTGCATAGGTCTAGACAGAGGATTCCTGTGGCAGGAATCAGTGGATTCTAGTGGCTGGAATCATGGGTGGTTGCGGACCGCTGCGGCCAGGAAGCCTGCAGTAAGCAATGACGGGCTGACAGGCGCCGCAGCTATTCACATGTATCCTTACATCCAGTGGTCACCTGTGGCTAGAAACATATGTCTGATCCTGGGCAAAGACAGGTTGCATCCAGGCTTGGTCTTCTGTCCCTAGGCTCAAGAAACCATTGGATGTTCAGATACATGTGAAAAGCAGCAGACAGCTGCAGCTCCTCATTGTTTTAAACAGGCTTGCTGCTGCAACTGTCTGCACCCACTTATGATTCCAGCTGTAAGAATCTGCTGTCTTTTGCAGCTGTAATTCCACTATCCGGACTCACGCAGACGTGTGAATGAGGCCCAAGTTTTAATCTGAGCAGTTCAACAAATAAAAAGCAATTTTGCTAAATTTAGTACATTTGTTAAAAGCAGGCAGAAAAAGAAAGAGCAAAACATTTTACTGGGCTCTGCAGGAGTAATTTCTTTGAAAAAATAAACCACATGCAAAACAGTGTGCGATATCGGCTGAAAGTGATAGGAGAGCATTGAGGTCATGTGACTTTAGGAAGAGAGCTTACCTGATCCATTGGCAGTGGAGTAAAATTGTCGCCCAAAGCCGTTAGTGTGAATTTCACTCCGTTCCAGATTTTATTGCAAAAATGGCGGACGGCGAGTACAGAGGCAACGTCCAGATTAATATCGTCTCCTGAATCAAAGTGAAGGACATATGAACAAACAAGCAAAATCAGAGGGAAAAATATTGCAATCTAATAAAGACAACTTCTACAAACAACAGCAAAAAGTTTCCCAGCACACTCACCAGCCAGCATGGTTGGTGCAGTGACACACTGGGGGTCTCAGCTGCCGTTGTGATGTGCGGGGCCCTTGTGTGTCCCTGTGCCTTTTAGGAGGTTGATGCCTCCTGGCGAACCTGCACCCAATTTTATATTTTGCTACATGTGCTCCAAGATGGAGACTCTCATAGGTTAGAGTTAGGACCGCACTACATAGAGGGGCCTTGACCAGGCAGTGCGGCTTTCACCTATTCTGCAGAAGACGAGTATCTAAAACCTCTGTTTTTAACCTTAGTGGTTAGACATGTTTGTTTTTTTTGCATGCTGGCTGGGAAACTGTTTGTTGTTGTACTGTATAAAGCCCTTCCATGTGCACTTGCTTTAAAGCTGGTTATGAGTTGATGAGTGCATTTGCCATTTGTTTGGCTTGACTGCTCAGGAAAAAAGGCTTGCTCACATGTGACTAGGAGCAATTATCTTATATGGTTTGGATAGCTAGCCACAATCAGCCACACTATCAGTATCGGTACAGAGTGGAAGATTTTTGCAATACAATCTACTGCAACCGTACTCAGCATATTTTTTCATGCACAACCTAGCCTAACATGTACATGACCTGAAATTATTAAGAAACATTTAGAAAGGTGAAGGATAGAGTGTTCAGTACAGGTTTCCTCTCACCTTGTACTCTATGAGAGCAGAGAGCGAATCGAAGGGCATCCGTACCACACTCAGGGATCCCATTTGGGTAATCTTTTAACTGACAAGTAAAAGACATGTTATTATGGAGAGTGAACTCATTGTATATGTGACATCTTATCCACGAGTCTTTGAAAATCCACTCCCTGCCTCGGGTATAAATATTGATCACATAGCTCTTTATTCTTCACATTAAGGGTGATACGATTACAGCTCATAACTACTGTATATACTTGTTACATACAACAAATGTGCCTCTGATCCATCAACTAAGTTTGTTGATTATTGGTCCTTCAAGTGCATTAAAGGATATCTAAACCCAAGAAAAAAAAAAATAATAATATATCGCAGCATGCCAGAGCTCTTGCAGAAAAGTAGATATTCTGCAAGTACAGAAACATTCCTGATGAAATATGTATAATCCGCGCTAAATAGATGTGGATGCCTTAATTAAATAAATAAATGAATCCCTCTATCTTAGAGCAGCTGTACTAGGGACACTAGGGTTAGATAGTATGTATGTAACTGAATGTTCAGCGCTCAGGATCATCAGTGAGTGAATAAACTCAGTGTTGGTGTATTAAGCTTAATAAGTATTAATAATCGATAATAACCAGTGAATAAAAGTTTCAAATTGTGCACGAATCCATAAAATAAAATCTCAGATCTAAAATACCAATAATGCAAAAAGTAGCAAAGTGAAGACAAATAATCGTTAATGGGATGCGAGTCCAAAATTAGATAATTAGTGAATTAGCAATAGAAATCCCACACCGCAGTGTCCACGTCTAAATCCCCTCTGGGGTGCGCACTCACCAGACCAGTTTATATATAAAATTGATAAGGAAAGGACTGGATCATATTTAAAATTAGGTGATCATATTATACATAAAAAAGATTATTTATTGGTTAAAAAGCAATTTAGATCAAATTCAACATTTAACCCTTTTGGTGTTAGGGTGTCCAGATCTAAAAATTGCTTTTTAACTAATAAATAATCTTTTTTATGTATAATATGATCACCTAATTTTAAATATGATCCAGTCCTTTCCTTATCAATTTTATATATAAATATTTTATATATATTTTAAATATATTTTAATAATCTGTTCTTAAAGGAACCCCCCCTATTTTTGATGAGATATTTTACCCACATTTGAGATATTTTACCCATTTTTGATAGTGTGCATAACACCTAAACACCCATTCTAATAACATATATTTGATGTATGTTATGAATATGATTAACTAAATTTCCTTATAGGAGGGCTGTTTGTTAGTGAGGCGGCAGCTAGATAATTAAACAGCATCTTAAATTATGGCTTAATGAAATGGCCGTATTGAGAAGAATTGTGTTGGGGTGTTTCTGTTTTAAATGCGTTCTGTTTTAAATGCGCTATGTTTTAAATGTGTTCTATATTGTATTTATGCCATTAAAAAGAGTCATATTTTTCTTTGGGGGATCTACTATGTTCTTAGCTAATTTCGTTTTAAGGCTAGGTACTCTCCTGTAGATCACTTTCGGTTTGCTTGGCAGAATCGGGCCCAGAGTCCTATCCTTTATTAGGATATGCCAATGCTTGTTGAGGATGGACTCAATTTGTTTGTGCTGGGCTGAGTAGTCAGTAATAAATGTTAAAGTTATGGGGTCTTTGGATCTTGTCGATGCTTCCAGTAACTTCAGTCTATCCTTCTTCTGAATTTCCGTTTGTATTTTGTTTAGAGTATTACTAATATATCCACGTTCCTCAAACTTCTTCACCAGGGTATTGGTCTGTTCAAAA